CGGTGGCCTCAGCCTGTCCAACCCCGCGTCCCGCCGCCGCATTGGACGTGCAGTCCTTTTTGCGGGACCTGCCTGGCACAGCACTGCCCGGCTCCGCTCATGGTCCTGCCACAGCCCTGCCAAACTCGACCTGGCCTCGAGGTGTCCCCAACACCTGCCCATCACATTCCTGCCCGACCCTGACACCCTTGGCATGGCCTTGCCCAAACCCGGAGTCCCTGTGTTGCCTGCCAGCACAGCCCTGCCTGGCCCCTGTCCCCACACTGGGTTTGCCTGGAGCCTGTCCTCCGACCAATCTGTCCTGCCTGGGGATGCTGGAGGAGTGACCCCTCACAAACATCTCCCAACACTTGGCTCCAATACCTCTGGAGAGACATGCCTGGGGCAGGGGTACCTGCAGGAGGAGAATGATGGGAGTCAGCCCCAGGAGAAAAGAGACCAGGAGGAGTGCAGTGAGGGATAGCTTGTTCATGGTGATTTCATCTCAGGTGCAGCCAGGACACAGGAGGGAGACAGCCCCCAGCACTGGATCAACAGGAGGAGTAGCAGGAGTTGCCTAGGGCAGGAGGAAGCTGAGGTGCCTGAAAGATAGCAGAGGGCACACCAGGGCTAGGCAGCTGGGGACAGAAGGAACCAGTACCCATAGGCTGCCACCCCAATTCTCTTCTCCCAGAGGAGCCTCAGGAATGGTCTCCTAGTGCTCTGTATTTCTGATTCTTCTTGTACTGTTCATGACTCCCAGCAGAGTTTGGGGATGCAGCTTCCAGCCATGTAGCATCCAGGCCATAGATCCTAGGGCGGGGACAGCCACCCTGGAGAGTCCAATTGACTTCTGCACCCACCACCACTGAGCACCCATTGGGTTACCCCCAGAGACTGGGGGTGTCTGCCACCAGTGATGGGCAAAGCAGAGCACTCTCTCTGCTGGTGAGCTCACCACTCCCTCCAGCAGCAATTTGAGCTCTGTCCCCCTTCCTGGCCTCCCATCTCCTGCCCATCTCTAGCCTCTGGGTTGCCCATCACTGCTCCCTTTGCTTCAACCACCAACAGTTTCACCCCTTCACCTGGGCATGTTGACTCCCCACCAGCAGCATTTGGTGATGAATGGCTCAGGTTTTATCTGCAGCTTGGCACAATTCTCCTCTTCCTCCTGGGCACAGGACTCCCACCACCTCTGGAGATTTCACACCTGCTCCTTCTCTGCCATCCTTCACGGCAACTGAGCTCCCGGTCTGCACCCTTGGTATTGTGACCAGGACTGAGCTGCCCTGGCCACAGCATGGGGACACAGGGGCACAGGACTTTCCCTGAGCAGGGCACTGCATCTGAGCTACCACACCATGTCCAGTCCCTGTTGTCTTTTGCCTTCACCCACCAGCGTCCATCCTACCTACCCTACAGGAATCTCATCACCTCGAATCTTAGGGGGAAAGTCAGCAAAGAGTAGCAGGGAACATCCCTGCTAAGGCTTGGGGAGTCTGACACGGTGCCCAGGGGCCCAGCCCCTGCAGCAGAGCTTGCTTGCAACACACGGCTCATCTGCCGGCGTGTTGAAAGTGCCTGTTGTCCCCCCCGCCCCTAGCGCCTGGCCTCCTCGCAAAGGCAGAGCGGGGCAGGTGAGAAGCCTTTATCTGATTTCCTAAGGGCAGAAAAATCCCTTTGATTTTGCCCCGAAGAGGGGAGCGGAGTGGGGGGGAGTGCCGTCTCGACGAGCAGGTGCGGCTGGTGCTCAGCAACTCGCCTTATCATGTCCTAGCTCTGCGTGAGGCTGGAGGGGGCTGGGGGGGCTGTGATGCCCCCAGCACGCATATGGGAACTGGCCCCATTGCTTGGGTCCTATAGCAAACCCCCCCGAGAGGGGCTAGTGGGGGCAGGGTGAACAAAGGTAGGCTCCTTGCCTTGTGCCTGGACCAGAAGGACTGGGATGGAGGGATGCCAGGGCTTTGCCCTTGTTTCACAGCTTGTCTCACAGCTGCATAAAAATTCCCCTTTAGCAAGGGGAAACTGAGGCATAGAGATGCTAAGACCTGATTAAGCAGCCAGGGTGTGATAGCCTGCTCCCCCAGCCACAGTAGTTTTCTCACTGACTCCCCTTCTGCAACAGGACCTAAAGGGACACATACTTCAGGGGACAAGGATACAGTGGTGACACTGAGCCAAGGTAATGGGGGTGCCACTGCCACCCTGAAGCAACCTCCACTGTCGCAGCTGAGCCTTTGTCTCTGCCTTTCCTTGCCTCTCGCAGCTCACTCCCCCCGCCCCCCACCCGCCCCAGCTTTTGTGTTATTACAAATTATAAAACAATTTTTTCCTGCCGTCCCGCATTCTTCTGCCTCCTGCAAGAATTTTAATGTATTTATTTTTGCTATCAGGGGAAAGCGCTGTGTTCCTCGGCCACCCCCGGGCAGCCCCAGCCCTGCTTGGCCACTGATGGAAATTAATGACGGAGGATGCAGGGGGAGAACAGACACCTCTGCACCCCTGCAGCAGAGAGGTGGGGGGGATGGGTGTCTCCCCAACCAGCCATGCTTTCCGCAGTAGAAAAGTCTGTGGAGGATAGAGAACTCAGCTGCACTGGGAAGGGTGATGGGATAGTGGGGGCTGGTCCCCAGGAGAGGCTGTAGTTTATGGGCTGAGGAGGGGACAGCTGTTGGTTGGATGGGCAGGGCCAAGGGGTGTTCTTAGGGGTCCAGCTTCGGGGTGCTGTGCTGGGTAATCATGTCCCCATACAGCAGCATGGCCTTGGAATTCTCTTGAGGAAGAGGAGACCTCCCCTAGACCCCAACCCACTCTGCCCCTTGTGACAGCATCCCCAGTGATCCCCATCCTGCTTGTGGGACAAAGCATCCCTTGAGTGCCCCATCCTGCACTCCCCACTGAACTCCCTCTGCCTCTAAGCTGGTGCCTTGATGCTGTTCTGAGCTCTGTCTCTCACTCCTGACCACACAGCCCCAAGGGCAAGGATTGGGGTGCCCTGCTCCCAGAGCCCCCCTGCCCCATAGCCACAAGGCTGGGGGGCTCTGGCTGCTGGGAGGGAGTGGACAGGGGGAGGAAAGAACGGGCCTTTCCTGCTGCGGGGAAAGCGCAGCGATTTCCAACCCAAACACCCCAGCGCTCAGCGGCTGCATACTTTCCCAGCGTCCCTCCCCTCCTTTTTATTCCTGAGGACATTGGCAATCAAACCCAGGTTGGCCCCATCTCCTGCTCCTGCAGTGAGGTCATCGAGCTGTGTTTGTGACATCCCGGTATCTCCATGGCAGCGCACTGTGATGTCATAAGCTTGGGGTTGCGACCTCACGGCAGGAGGAGAATGATCTTATTAAAACAACATGGTCCCCATCCATGGCCGCTCACAGCCGGGGGACTCCAATGCAGGATAACGGCCAGTGGAGAGGCCTGTGGCAGCCAGGGGGATGGTCAGGATGGAGCCCTCCCTGGGATTGTGTCCCCAGTGAGAGACGTTGATGACCCAGGGCATGATCCAGAGCTCAAAGCAGTGGGCAGTCCCCAGGGCTGAACTCCCAGCTGATGCAAACACACAAGCCTTCCTTGTGCTGGGGTGGTGGTGAATTTGGGGACAGTCACTCTGACTTACTCTTCAAGGTCTCCCAGGCTCAGCCACAGTGCTGCCCACCTCCAGGGCCAAGTATCTGGGGCCTTATCGGGGTGCAGAGCCCTTTCATGTCAGGCCAGTGGGTGGCAAGTGGAGCTGATGAGGACCTGTCCCCAGATCAGAGCCAACCGGTGCTGACAGCAACTATGCAGCCCATTCTCAAATTAGATGAGCCCCTCCTCTCCCTGGCCAGCACTCCTGCCCCTGCCCCATGGCTGGACACAGCCTGGGACATCGCTGCCCACAGTGCTTCTCATGGCCAACATGTCCCACACACACGCATGCACACACTGTACCCCTAAGGAGCCCTGGGCATCCCTTGGGCACTGACAGTTAGGAGACAGATGGACAGAGGGGTGAATGGGAGTGTAGACAGACAAATGGGTGGGTGGCTGTCTGGATGGACAGGTAGGTGTGGGGATGGGTGAGAAGAGTGATGCACCCATTTGTAGACGGATGGATGGATGGATGGGTGAGTGTACAGACAGCTCAGTAGATGGATGGCTGTGAGAAAGCTACATGTAAGTGTGGATGGATGGATGGACGGATGGACAGGAGAAAGAATGGCCCTAGCACTCTTTAGTGAGCCTGTGTGGTTCTGGATGTTGTTACTCTTTCCAAACAACCAAAGTTTCACACAGCACCAGCAAAAGCCCAGCTCTGTCCTGGGAGAGAAGGGAACATTCACGTCCTAAGGGGAGAAAATTTGTCTTTCTCTCTGTGCAGCTTGAGGGCCTGACCTTGTGCTGCTGCAGCAGTCCATCCTCACTGCTAGCACAGGATCTGTTTTCCACTGCTCAGCGAGGAAACTGAGGCCAAGGGGACTGCCTGGCAGTGCAGCAAAGCTGCAACCACCCCTCTTCAAGGAAATATGGCACTGTGGTCAGTCCCACTCCTTCCAGCTCCCTGCATATCCGTCTGTCCATCCACGGGAAGGACACACATCTCTTGGGCTGAGAGCGATGCCGTTGTCCTTGGGCCCCCGCGGGCCGTAAACATGATGTCATGTGGCAGCACACACAGCCCGCTCTGTGCGCGGGTCCCCAAATGGGCTTCGCGAGTTCGGCGTGGGAGGCATCAACCATGGCCCACAGCCAAGGGAACTGGAGTTGGGAGATAAAATCAGGTTTGCTTTGGGCTGGAGCAAACAGCCTTTGCAGGAGGAGTAAAGGATAGGGAGAGCAGCTGGAAGGGGGAGACACCTCCCCATCTCGGAGAGTTTGTTGAGGAGCAGAGGTAATGGGGGATGCTCCAGGAAAGCCCAGGCTGGTTTTGCCGGTCCCAGGTTGGCTCCCTTCGCGCCTACTTGACTTAGAATAACTCCATAGGCACTTGAAGTCACTAATCAGCCAGGACCACTTGAGAGCAGCCCAGGGCTGCCTCCCGTCTCCTGCGATAACGGGATGCCAGCCCCGGGTTTGCTCCAGCGTCCTGCCCTCACATCCTCAGGGAAAGGTCCTGGCCCACCAGGGTCCCATGGGGCACAAAGAAGGGGGAGCCCAGATCAGAGCTTGCTGTCAGGTGCTGAGCCCTGTGCAGTGGTCATGGAGAACACACCATTGTGCTGTTTGATTTACCTCTTGTTTCAAAAGCTTTGTGCTGTCCCCAAGCCCTTACCTGGATCTAAGGGGTCAGATAGAGGGAAATGAGGGGAAGGGGACCTTTGGGAGAGGGCCAAGAGTGTCCCACTTGAACTCTCTGTGTGGGAGAGGAGCAGCTGTCTCCAGGCCTGGGATCTGTCTACATCCCTCTTGATCTTCCCATGTCCCCCCTGTGCAGCCCCACGAGCCCCAGCATGGCTCATGACTCAGGCAGTGACAGTGTGGTGACACACAGTTGACATGACAAGCCATCTCCAGTTAAATGCTTTGGGTTGTTTACAGTTCTTGGGACCCAGGCTCAGCCTTCTCACAGCCTGGGCTTTCCTGGGCATGAGTCAAGGGATGCCCTCCCCTGGGACACCCCACTTCCCCCCCACCAGCTGTGGGAGAGCAAATCAGGGTTAGAGGATAAAGCCCTGGGAAAAATTTCCAGCTCCCGGGTGAGACTGCACAAGTCACGTAAAGAAGCTGTGCCTTCATCCCAGCAGGACCAGCAGCCAGGACCCTCCATGAGCAGTGTGTGGTGGATAGATTGAGCGGCAGAGCAGCACGGAGGGCCCACGGTGCCTGTATCTGCATCCACAGGTCCCATCGGTGAGATGGGGTCAGACCTGACAATGCATCGGTGGAATGAGTAGAGTTGCAGCAACCCTGTGGCAGAGTGACACACAAGATGGGACCTGCCACCCCCAGTTCCACATCCCCATGGATAAAGGCAGCATTTGCTCTCCCGCCTTTGCCCTGCTTGCCGCCAAGCTGAGCTGGCCCCGCATGGGGGGACCTCCCGGGAGCTGGCGGTGCCCCCGGCTCCTCGCGGCATTCTCCGGCGGAGGATGTGTCACGGCCCAGCCGCTTCCCTTCGGAAGTCCCCGCCGAGCGGCTCTGGGAGGGGGGTGATTCACCAGACCCTCCTGCCCTCCCTTCTGCACGGCCTCCCCCACAGCCCTGGCAGCGGCCCCGGCGGAGCCCCAGGCAGGTCTCCGACGCCGCTCCCGCCGTCCGAGGGAGGGGAGCACAGCCTAGCGGCGGGAGCGGGAAGTTATATCGGGGGGGGTGTTTTCAGCGTGCGCTGCGGGGGTGGGGGACCGAGGACGGGAGGGACGCGTGGATACAGCCATAGTATTAACACAAGGTCCTGCACCCGGGTCGGGGTGATCCCAGTACCTGTTCTAGCTGAGTGGGACGGATGGATGGATGGATGGATGGATGGATGGATGGATGGATGGATGGATGGATGGAGAGCAGTCCTGCAGAGAAGGACCTGTGGATCCTAGTGGATCAAAAATAGTATATAAGCCGGCAATGTGCACTTGCAGCCCAGAAAGCAGATCGTGTGTGAGACTGGAAAACAAGAAACATGGCCGGCAGGGCAGGGGAGGTGACGCTCCTGCTCCACTCCGCACCGTGAGAGCCCACGAGTGGAGTGCTGCATCCAGCTCTGAGATCCTCAGTGCAAGAGAGGCATGAACCTGTTAGAGCAGGTCCAGAGGCCACAAAAATAATTGGAGAGCTGGAGCACCTCTCCCATGAAAACAGGGGATTTGGGGTTATTCAACCTGGAGAAGGCACAGGAATATCTTATTGCAGGCTTTCAATATATAAACGGGTTTATAAGAAAAAGGGAGAGAGACTTTTACTCTTTTTGCAAGATGTGATAGTTTTAAACAGAAAGAGGTGGTAGGGTCCCACTCTCCAGCAAGGGGAAACGCGTTAACAGCGGTTTAGGAGGAGCCGAGGCGTCCCCTGCCGGGGGGAGCGAGAACCTGGTGTCCAGGCACCAAGCTGGGAAGTCCTGTGTCCGGGGCTCTCTTGCTGCCCCGGCTGTGGGTCTGACCGGGGCAGGGCAAGCGAGAGAGCTGGCTGTGAGCAGCCATGAGATGGCGGCAGGTGCTCACGCTTGGCTGTCCCAGCCTGGGGTGCCTCAGGGGTGTCTGCAGGCACAGGAGTGCCTGGGTCCCGGCTCAGCTGGCAGAGAGCTCACAAGGAATCAGCCTGGAACCCAGTGTGGAACACCCCCCACTTCCCGGTGAGGCAGGACCAAGGATGAGAACAGCCCAACCTGAGGGCACAACCTCCCTGTCCAGGACCTTGAACCCACCACCCGATAAGGGTGGTTAATGATCAGCACTGGGGTGTCCCAGCCAGAGACATGGTGACCGATGCTCCAGGAGGGACACCTGGACAGACCACTGCCCTGCCCCACCGCCCCAGAATCTGGTGCCAGTGCCAGGCTGGCCAAAGTGGACATGTCCTGCGTCCATGGTCCAACACCACCACAGCAGGATCCTGCTCATGGGCTGGACAGCTTGGCCTGCACCAGGACCTGGTGCCATTCTCTCCCTCACATGAAGACAAACGAAACCTGCCTCTGGTTGTGTTGCCAGCAGCCACAATGGCCATACTAAGGTCTCCCTACTGTAGTCTCAGCTGGCAGCACCTGGAGGAAGTGCTGAGAGAGGCCCTGGGACATCTTAGACCCAGCTCCCCAGGGTACCATCCTGCACTGCTGGGGGACAAGGCAGGCACAGGGGGATGACAGGCAGGGGACAGAGGCAGGGCAGAAGAGCTCAGTCTGTAAGGGCAAGCAGCCCTGAAGAGCAGGCCCAGTGGTGAGCCTGGTGCTGATGCAGGGTGCAAAGAGTCTGGGATGTGGTACTCAGTGCCAGAGTGCAGTGCTGGTACTGGCACACGTTGTGCCATGCCTGGTGCAGTGCCCGGTGCCAGTGCCTGGTGAGTAGTGCCCATGTGCCATGCCCAGTGTGCAGCACCTGGAGCTGGTACCAGTGCTGGTGCCACACGCTGCGTTGCACCGAGGGTGCTGTACCTGCTGTGCCATGTATCAGGGACTGGCTGCCAGCTGCCTTGTGCACGGTGCCATCATGCATAACGCATGGCACCACGCACTGAGTACCACTGATGGCAGTTCCGAGTACCTAGCAGCCGGTGCATGGCATGTGATGATGCTGAGCAGTGTCCAGCGTCCAGTATTTGGTGCATGGGATATGGTACCCGGTGTGCTGTAACGAGCATCCAGAACACTGCAGCCGGTATCCACGGCCCGGTAGCAGGAGTGCAGAGGCGGCACAAGGTGCGCGGTATGCACTGCCCGGTGCCGAG